TCTAATATATTCTGAGGTGAGCTCTACTCTCCGTAGTAGTTCGAGTGTGTGTGTGGCTGGGGGTGGGGGAGAATGGCAGGGAGTGGGGATTGGTGGAGGGGGGAAGGAAGTCTGGAAGAGGAAGAAGGAGAGTTCATGGGAAGCAGCGGGTCTGCCCTCCCTAAAGACACGAGGCCCTGAGCTACGTTGGGGAAGGAGGACTGTCCTAATGAATAGTCAGGTTATAGGCTGTATTGTGATCATTCTTCTTTACAAGATCCCAGAGAGTTTTGCTCATTAAGAATTTACTGTATGGTAAGACTAAGCAATTGCTTTCTGAAATTGTATTATTTCTGAAGTGAAACAGAGTTAGATTAATAAAAGCAATATTACGGATTAAAGTTCTTAGCAGAATTAAGGAGAATTTACGAAATGTCCTAATGTTGGCAGTACATACTCACACTTTATGAGTGAAGTGATATAATGTCTGATGTATGGGATTTATTTATAAATATTCCAGAAAAAAAAATGGATGGAAAGAGAAAATAAAAATAAGATCAGCAAAATGTTGGTAATTTTTTTTTTTTAAGATTTTATTTATTTATTTGACAGAGAGAGACACAGCAAGAGAGGGAACACAAGCAGGGGGAGTGGGAGAGGGAGAAGCAGGCTCCCCACTGAGCAGGGAGCCCGATGCGGGGCTCCATCCCAGGACCCTGGGATCATGACCTGAGCCGAAGGCAGACGCCTAACGACTGAGCCACCCAGGCACCCCAAAATGTTGGTAATTTTTAAAAGCTGAATGGGGGGTTTATTCTACTGTTCTACTTTTGGGTATGTTTGTTAAATTTCTGTAATAAGGGTGTTTTTTGTTTTTATTTTAAGTTTAAAAAAGGAAAGAGAAAAAACTTAAATACAGAAGTTAAAAGAGCATTGCATCTTCCAGGATATAACAAAATAGCTTTTTGTCTGTAACCAGGGTTAGCATTTCACACAGCAGTGGTTGTCAAAGTGTAGGCCTCTGGGCTTTTCCATGGAACCAGGCATTGTCCAGGTCTTAGCACTGTGTGCAGAGAACTGAATCTATTTTCCCTAACATAATTAGTTACAGGAGTATTTATGCTCTGGGGTAGGGGGCACAATGACTTCCTCTCTTTTCTTTGGGGCATAAGTATGAAAATCAGGAGTAGGGTGGGACACAGGATACTCCTTCCCAGGGGCATTCATTTTGCCCTGATAGGATCCTCCTCTCCCCAACCCCCAGGGACTGCAAAGGTTCCGTGGGGCTTTTGCCTAGCTGGATTGGTCCCCAAAAGGAAAAAAGTTACTTCCTTGGGTAGCTTTAGAGCGCCTATTACTTTTAAAAGCCAGGGAGCAGCAAGGAGTCACCTGGGGTCCTAGGGGGCGTGTAGCTTTCTTGCTAACGTGGAGGGGAGCCTCGGCCAACTCCCCTCCACCACTGGTTGCACCACAGTTAGTTGTGTTCAGCAGAAATAAATTGTAAACTTGTTGACACTTTGTCCTCTTTACAATGCATTGTTTATTTTTCCATGACTGAGAATTTTGATGCAATTATCACTGAGCTTTCTGACAAAAGGGAAATAGCTGAGGAATTTTGATGAGTTACCCACTTCATTAATCAGAACAAGCATCTCTAGTGACGGGGTTAGAATTACAATGAAGATTAGATAGCAAATTGCTGTTCCACCTAACGTCAGTCATCCTCCGTGACAGCAGTGTGATTACACTTCAGGGAAGAGCTTTTCTTGCCAACAAAACAAGGGCAACTCCAGTGCAGGTAATAAATTTAGCAGGGCGAGCTGTCATTTCTTCTCTTGAGTGGAATCCTTAACGATCAAATGATGTAGAAGATTTTGAGACGAGAAGAGCATTTCCCTTAAAAACTTTCTAAATTTCACTTTGTAGTATTTTATTTTATAAATTATTAGAGATAATGTATTTAGGAACAGTTCTTCCCACCGTGATTTTCAGTATTTTACTTACCTGTAGGAAGCCTTAATTTTCACTGCCACCACTATGTTAAAGTGATGTGGAAGTTAAAATCAATGACTGTATTTGAAAATCCTTCAGAAATAAAACATGGTGCAGAAATAAAGGAACTAGGTAAGAAAGGGAGGGAGGTCATCCTAGTCATCCAGCTAGTTAAAACATTAAATTCTGAAATAGAACTTATTAAATAGAATGAATTAAACAGAGTGTATTCCTCTTCCAACCCGATTGTGCTTTTAAATAATAGTTCTTGTTTCCGAGCGCAAAAGGATAGAGCAGGGTTGTTGCTCCCGAGTGTAGTACTGAAGAGGAGAAGCAGGCCTGGGAACAGCAGGGACTCAGCTGGGGGGAGAGGTAATAGAAAGAATAAATAGATCATGACTATGGAAGTATGCCACTTCTCATCCCTTCTAAATAAAAGCAGAGTGCTAGCATCTTCCAGAGAAGACAGGACTGAGAATATTTTCCTTCCCAAATATTTTCCTCTAAGCACATTTATGGGACTCCTGTTTGCCTGAATAACGATTGCTCTGAGTCAAGAATAAGTGGCTATTCTTGGTTCACACTTGTATTTTTTCATTTAAATTTTAATGGGATTGCTCTTTTGAATAGGCAGGAAAAACCAGTAAATTGATTTCAAGAAAACAGTTGCTATGAGTCTGTCACTTTGCTGTTACTTCTATGTAGTGAAACTGAATTATAGACCTTTAAAACTGATCATTTTGCTTTCAAAGTCTAAACTTAACTATTTTAAAGAAGTATGTTGACTATAGCATTTAGGAACTCAAATTTTCCCTTCTTAAATTCAGTTATGTTCTAGTGGTGCTCTTCTACCATAGTTAGTTATGTACTGACTTCTTTCTCTTTTGGTATAAAAGAAGCAGAGATTTTGGCCTTCATTTTTAGGAGACTTTTTGCCTAATAGATTAGGTCATCAGGATGCCAGAATGTTTCGGTTTTAGCCTTAGGTGTACCACTAACTTTTCACTTTGTGAATTTAGTCATTAACTCTTCTCTACTTGAAGTTCAGCTTAGTGTAAGGTAAATCATAATAATATCTGCAGTCTCTCTATTTTGTAATGATGGTCTACAAATTAATAGTGCATGTAATATTGTGCTTACAGTAATGCCTTGAACTTAATAGACAAGGAATGTAGAAATCCAAGAAGCACGCTATTAATAGTGTTATTATCGTCCAGGTGGATTATGTTTATACTATTTCATCATTAGAAATATTCCAGGAGTTAAAATCAGAGATAGCTGTACACCAATAGGAGTCTCTTAAATGAATCTGGTAGACAGAGGATATTTTCTTTTGACTATGGCACACAAGTTAATATATTTTTTTCATGCTTTATTTTGTGGGTTAGACAGGCAAATAATAATGCAAAAACTCAACCTGGCAGCTGTGTGTCTTTGCCTTTTTATGACTGCAGGCATATCCTGTATTCAGCAAATCTCCCTTCCTCCCTCCCTCCCTGTCTTCTCTTCTTCCCTTCTTTCCGTGGGATCTAAGGTGAAGGTCTAGACAGTACACCCTCATTTGACATAATGGAAAGGGAATGAGAGCTTTTTAAAGTTTGCCATGGTTTCTCCCAATAAATAATAATAAAGAAGATTCTGTAATTTGTCTAAATGGGAATAGAACTGAATTCTTGTATAAGAAAACATTCCTAGCCAAATGGGCTATTTCTAAGAATTCTAACATATGCTCCCTTAGGTTATTAGTCTTTTAATTTATTTGCCCTCTTAATTTTGTTCAGAGTTCCCCAATTTAAACCCAGTGGTGGCTGCTTACTAAATGTTGAAATAGTGAAAGATAAGTGTTGTTGCACAGATATAAGCAGTAAATAACAGCTGACCCTTGTAGGGCTAGCAAGTGCTTGAAGCTGGTCATCATGCACCCCCTCTGTCTCCCACAGAGTCACTTTCTATGAGGTTACTTTCTATTTTATTGCTATCAACACTTGGTACAACTCTCAGATTTGCCATTTCCATTCATGGGACCGAGTCCCTTCCTTATGAAGGCTCACAGTCTAGTGGAAACCAGTAAACAAGTGGTTATAATACAGTGTAATGAGTGTTTTGATGGAAAGCAGAGGTTGCTCTGGGAACGTAGTGGAAGGACACTTATATTTGGGGAGAGCAGTTGGTAACAGGAGAACTTCCAGAGAGAAGTGAGTCCTGAAGTAGTCAGTCAAAGAAAGGGCAGAAAAGGAGGACCAAGAAATTAGTATGAACATAGGAAAGTGTTAAACAGTGTGGTTGATGTAAGGTCAAGAGCTGAAAGTTATGTGATGTAGTGGGAACATTAAGTTTACCTTGAAGGTAGGAGATGTAGGCAAGGGCTAGATCGCAGAGATTTACTAGGACCATGAGTAAAGTTCTTCTCTAGGGACATCCTTAGGCTCAGTAGATCCTGTCTTGTTGTCAAGATGCATGTAGTGGAAGATCCCAAGCATCCTGAGCATCTGGTCTCTCTAGGCACTCACCAGAGCTCTGTCATGGTCAGTGGTGGCTCAGCTGAAGCTGTTGTTTTAGCTGTCTTGTTTCCAGGGACCAGAGTCCCCCATTCTATTCCTCATGGGATCTTCCATGTTCCTTTGTGCAGGACATCAGCAGCGTTAGTAATAGGAATGAATTACTCAGGTGGTATTTACACTCCAAGACAAGCTAGCAAGCCTACTGGAAGCAGATGTTTCAAGCTTTTCAAATGAGTCCCTTAACTCGGGTCTTCGAAGTGACTATTACTCGGGATCCCCATCGGACTGATGCCTTACAATGAGAACTAAGTATTGGAGTTTAAGTCGTGAGCCCGAGAGTACCTCAGCTGCATGACTTGAATATTTGTCGTCATTATTAGCAGAAAGCAATTATACTTTGCTTCTCTTCCATCAAGACAACAGTTCCTAGATTTGTTAGAAGAAGTGTGAGGGGGAAATCTGAGGTGACAGCTCTCGGTATCAGATATTAGCTCATCCGTGGTGATTTTCCACATGTTTCCATTGCAGTGTCAAAAACGGTATTTCTCTGCCTGGCACGAGCTGATCCTTGATCACAGGATTAAGCTGGGAAAAGCTGGGACCCTGTCCAACTGGAAGTTCCAACTGAAGGTCCTGCGGGCCTGGAGAGACTACACAAGATCCCAGAAGTTGGCGCGGGAGACTCAAGCCATGCAGAATGACCTTAGGGAAGAAAACAGGTACTGTTATTTTTATCATGAAAACCATGGTGTTGGGGCGCCTGGGTGGCTCAGTTGTTAAGCATCTGCCTTCGGCTCAGGTCATGATCCCAGGGTCCTGGGATCGAGCCCCGCATCGGGCTCCCTGCTCGGAGGGAAGCCTGCTTCTCCCTCTCCCACTCCCCCTGCTTGTGTTCCCTCTCTCGCTGTGTCTCTCTCTGTCAAATAAATAAATAAAATCTTTAAAAAAAAAAAAAAGAAAGAAAACCATGGTGTTTTTAGGACATTTTTCCTCCTGAAGAATTCTGAAATAAACTCTAAAAAGTACGTCATCCATTATAAAATGTGGTAATCCCTGTTTTTCTGTATTACATCGCAAACTAGAAACTTTTAACTGAAAAATGTAAGCAAAAAAATTTTTAATTAAAATATGCTAATGTCCATGCTTTCCTTTTTGATGGAAGCAACTATTATGCTTTTTCTCTGTCTTCCGGTGTCCTAGCATTGCACCTTGGACCATCTTACAATTCAGAGGACAGAGTTTGGTTTATATGCCAGTAATTCTCATTGGTAGAAATCCCTGTCTGCACAGAGAATGTTAATTAGGGACACAGGGAACATTCATCTAGGAGGGCAGACCTGCCAAGGTGATTTCGCCCACTCCTCCATCTTTTGTTCTACACCTTGTTTAGAGATTTTTGATACCTTTATATCAGTTCCCTCTTAGGCTTGTGAATGACATAGAATTTGTCTTCAAATAAAACTTGCTTTGTCCTATCATCTTAAAATTAGATACATTTTCTTCTTTTCATTTCCAAGTTCAACTTTGCACCCTTGAACCAAAATCATGGCTTTAAAAGGAACCATTTGTTTATTTGGGGGCGGGTACAGTTTATGTTCTTGTGTGTATTCACTTCTCTCACCGGCAACTCTGTTAGCCATTCAGGGTGAAACTTGAATGAATGGTGTGTGAAATCATTGTTACGTAGAGGGAAATGGTGCCCCCTATAGTTGTGCAACCCTGTGACAGCATCAGGCCCTGGGGTGGATACACAGGAGCCTAATGCCTGGCCTCACAGTTCTGTGGGGAAGACAAGATCTAGAAATAGGACAGGTGTTGAGCAGCATCATAAACTGCACAGTGCATCCCCTCTGTTGCTGAGAATTTAGCAGAACGAAGTGTCACAGGGATTGAGGAGGCTCCTACAGAGTGCCAGGAAGGGCTTTATCAGGAAGGTGGGTCATGAGCTGGACTCCGTACCATAAGTAGAATGCTCCTGGGTGGGGACGAGGAGATGAGGTAATGACGTGTAGTGTAGCCATCCAGGTTGGTTGGAAGATCATCAGCTATGTGGTTCTCAAGTTCATCAACCTGTGAAAGGCCTTGAATGCCAAGACAAGGAGTTTAGGGATTCTTTGTTAAATAAAGGTGAATTCTTGACAGATTTTAAGCAGAAGGATGACCTAGTCAATTTCCCTTCTTTACAGTATGCCGGGGGAATCATCAGTTGGGGGATAAAAGGCAGCATAGAAAACTCTTTCCCATAATTTGTTTCTAAGTTCTCAGGATCCAATGATTGATATAAGGAATTGGGGTGATAGCCTACTGAAAAAGGATTGGCTAGCAGGATTTGCTGGATAAAGGAGGGAAACTGGAGGTGCTATAAAGGGGAAGCAACATGAGTGAGGGCATGAAGGGAGTGGAAATTGAGTGGTGAAGTTAAAAGTGGCCTGTGAAATTTACATGCCAGAAGAAACTTGTAGAAGAAAAATCTGAAGAACTTGAGATTTCATTCCAATTAAACTGTTTAAATATAAAAATCACTAAATGGGGATTTCATAATAGCATGATGTGCCAATTTTTTTTAAAGATCTTAGAACTTTTTGTCTCGTATCTGTGAATTATTTTCAGGTGTCTATTTTTAAACGTTCAGAATGGGTACTACATTTTTTTTTAAAGTGCCAGAGTTAGAAAACACGTAATAATTTTTTTACTACAAAACTTTAGAGCAATAAAATCTTAGAGTAGGAAGTCATCTCAAGGATCGTCTAATCCTGCCTGTCATTTTACAGATGTTAAAAATAAGGTCTGGAGAGAGTAAACGAGATAAGGTAAGAGTACCTAATCCACAACAAGAGTCTGGTCTTTTTTATTCTGAGTCAGATACTTTTTCCTATACCACCCTGCTTCTGTGTTAAATGTTAAATTGCATCTAGGTGGTGGTTCCTAAGACAGCCATATTTTTCAGTTATATGGCAACTTACTTTAGATGGTTGCAGATGAAAAATAGAGTAGCAATTAACAAATGACAAGTAATGCCAGAAACATATGAGAAGAAAGGAGCTATTAAATACAAACCTCCTTTGTGCTGCTTTCCTGCAAATCCCTGGCTCTCTACATGTTTTTCTTTGTTCTAGAAATTAAGTTGGGTGATTTTGTTCCAAGAAGGTCGGAATATTAAAGGTGGGGAAAAAGCTCAGAGGTAGATACTGTGAGCAGAAATCAAGAAATGTCGGTGGGATTGAGCGTGTCTGGAGAGCCTTTTTCTGTGTTTATCAGAGTTTCTCCTAGTACCTCAGTGGACACCAAATATACATTTGTTGAGTATAAATGAGTCAGTGAGTGAATGAGTTCATTTGCTTCCTCTCTTGTAATTTAACTTGATAGTGTCTTCAAGCATTTTTTTAAAATAATGAGCTCAAGGAATATAATGGGTTACTCACTGTAGAAACTAAACTCTCACCAGATTGGCAAAACACAGGTGGTTCTGTGGCCTATCCACCTGGACATGGAAATCATTTGCTATGCCCATTACTCGGATGTCAGCTGTGTCCTCATCCTCCAGCTCTTGCATCCACATCTGTTTTTGACACCTGGGGTTTTCCCCTCACTGGCCTGTCCCCTGCATGGGCCAGCTTTCCTGGCTTCCCTATTCTTCCTTCCTTCCTTCCCTTCTTCCTTTATTTCTTTCTTTTCTTTTCTTTAATTTTCTTTCTTTTCTTCCTTTCTTTCTTTCTTTCTCTCCCTCCCTCCTATTTTTATCTATCTCTTTTCTTTTAAAAGTAGTTATGGAAATGATGGTATAAAATTTCAATACAATATCGTAATGCAATCTCAACATGAACAAATATTCCCAGACCCTGAGAATTCACTTGCTTAGGTAATACAACAAAACCCTGGTGTACACACCAAGTTAGGCCTTTTGATGTGGTGGTATTGGAATTTGAACTGTATTTTTAATCTGCTTGTTAGCATGTTCTCTTTCAAAGCTGCCTTTAGTTCTTCCATTGCTCCTCTTTCCCTTCCTCTCTCAAATTTATGGCCAGCCCTGGATAAAATTAGGAAGAAGTGGGGTTTGTTCTCAGCATCCTCCCCCAGCCCTTCCTGAGCCCCTGATTTCTCAGTTCTTCCCTGAGAAGCACCTCTGTCCTTCCCTTATTAACCTCCACATTGCCTGCAGTCCTGCCCTCTCTTGCACCAGAGCTCTGGGCCTTTCCTGGAATATGCTTTTATCTCTTCCCTTTGTCCCTCAAGCCCCACGTGCTTTTTTTTTTTTTCTTTTAAAGATTTTATTTATTTGAAGAGAGAGAGACAGCGAGAAAGGGAACACAGCAGGGGGAGTGGCAGAGGGAGAAGCAGGCTTCCCGCCAAGCAGGGAGCCCAACGTGGGGCTCGATCCCAGGACCCTGGGATCATGACCTGAGCCGAAGGCAGACGCTTAACGACTAAGCCACCCAGGTGCCCCCCCGCCACGTGCTTTTTTACTGTGATCCTCAGTTGATGTTATCCCTCTCAGGAAACTTCTTATATTTTCACAGGTGTTGTGTGGAAACAGTGCCCAAATGTCAGTGATGGGGATTTGAGGATTTGAGGGTCCTATGGCCAGCCAGTGGACAAACTGGCCCTTTGACATCCCTCAAACCATGACATTCATTTGTTCACTCATTCTTTGATTCTGTTTGATGGAATTTATTCTTTCAGCCACCCAGCTTTTCTGACGTTTACTGGGTACTAGGCTCTCTCCTAAGTCCAGGGAGGGGGACTTGGAAAAAAGTGTTAAACACTTACCTTCTAGGAGTTTTCAGTCTAAATGAAGAGAAAAATGGTACCCGAGTGCTAAAAATAATTACAACAGAAGGCACCATAAGAAAAATACTTAGGAATGACATAGACTTGGCTATCGTGCATTATAATCCCCCGAGGAGCTTTTTAAAAATAGGAATTCATGGGCCCCATCTTCTGAGAGAGAGAGAAATATGGCTAAGTAGAAGAGTGCTTTTTTGTTTTGTTCTGTTTTTTGTTTTTTTAATTTTTTTAATTTTTTTTATTTATTTTATTTTTTTTTTATTTTATTATGTTAGTCACCATAAAATATATCATTAGTTTTTGCTGTGGTGATCCATGACCCATTGTTTTCGTATAACACCCAGTGCTCCATGCAGTACGTGCCCTCCTTAATATACCCATCACCAGGCTAACCAATCCCCCCTCCCCCCTCCCCTCTAAAACCCTGTTTGTTTCTCAGAGTCCATAGTCTGTCATGGTTCATCTCTCCCTCCAGTTCCCCCCCACCATTTTTCCCTTCCTTCTCCTAGTGTCCTCCATGCTATTCCTTATGTTCCACAAATAAGTGCTTGACTTATTTCACTTAGCATAATCTCCTCCAGTCCCATCCATGTTGATGTAAAAGTTGGGTATTCATCCTTTCCGATGGCTGAGTAATATTCCATTGTATATATGGACCATGTCTTCTTTATCCATTCATCTGTTGAAGGGCATCTCGGCTCTTTCCACAGTTTGGCTATTGAGGACATTGCTGCTATGAACATTGGGGTGCATATGGCCCTTCTTTTCACTACATCTGTGTCTTTGGGGTAAATACCCAGTAGTGCAATTGCTGGGTCATAGGGTAGCTCTATTTTTAATGTCTTGAGGAACCTCCACACTGTTTTCCAAAGTGGCTGTACCAACTTGCATTCCCACCAACAGTGTAAGAGGGTTCCCCTTTCTCCACAACCTG